TGGATTTACATACAACATTGCTTTCTCTTTTTGATCCCACCAACTTTCACAATGTAGCTCCAAATGTTTTAAGGTTGACAAACTGTTTGACATGTCCGCTTTTCATACTTTTTGCGAAATTGACAGATTCAAACTATGAACTCCGACACCACAGAAATCATGACAGTGGTAATATGTCTGGAAAGATTCAGATTTACAGATTTACAGCGAGAAGAATGAAAGGGAATGTCAAAAGTAGAAATATGTCAAATGCGAATGTATTTGATGTCGGTGGTGATGAATGGTTATAAATATACAGCTGAGCGAATGAACAAAATTCATGAAAGCAAGGAACGTCGGGACTCCAAAAAGGTTCGTAACTTACATTTTCTTTTTTCCTTCAACATTTATTTCTTTCCTACGTTACTTTTTGGTTTCTCATCTTCCATTTCGTAACACTCACCTCTCACAATAGCATAGTCAACGATCAAACGAACAGACGAAAAGATGTTTATCATGGACATCACCATCTTTCTACATGTCTTTTTGACACTTGTGGTCTCTGTATTTGCAATTCCACATCCACCAATAACTACAACAACTGAATGTATCACCACACCTTTAACTTTACCGGTTATGAATATAACCACCATTGCTCCGACTGCCACCACCAACAAAGTTCTTAACACCACAACGGTACCCTCTTCTACAAGTCGTTTATCAACACGAACAACATCCAATAATGTCGTTACCAGCACCGGTACCATTACCGTTTTTTCCACAATGACAACTTCCCGTCTCGCTTTCAGTACTGGTACCATTCCATTCCCACCTGTTGGATCTTCCTCGGCTCGTAGTTCGCCTACTGCTTTGGGAAGCACTTTGGTTAAAAGTTCAAGTAGTGGGATCTTTTTGTCGTCTTCGGTTGCGGGTAATACCGTCACCGGTGGATATATTGTTCCTTCGAGTTTGGTGACAACTACTACTATGGGAAGGGTTACGACTACGTCTACTGGTACTGGCGGTGTTGGTGGAACTACAACTGGGATGGTTGTTAGTACAACGGCAATGAATGGTAATAGCACTACGGTTAAAACAACAATAACGGCAGCGGTCACAACAACAATGACAACACGGTCTCCGAAGGTTTTGGGAAGTACTCGGATGAGAAGTTCGTCGGAGGCTGGGTCTAGTGGTGGAATTCAAACCACTTCGGCCGGTTCTCAGACTATGATTTATTATCATGTTCCTTCTACCTCCTTTGTTTCGCCTTCGTCGTTGCCTACGACAACTACGAGGGTGGCCACAACAGTTATCGGTAGCACGACTATTCCACGCACCACCGGTATTGGATCAACCACGATTTCTCCGTCTTACTTTGGCACTTCAACTGTTCCATTTACCATTATCGGAGGATCAACCACGGCAACTGCTATCGGTAGCACCACCAATGTCATTGGATCAACCACAAGATCTACTATTCCGATTCCGACTACTACAACAAGATCTCCAACGGCGTTAGGCAGCACCCGTGTGAGAAGCTCTACTGAGAATTCAATGGTGGGCTCTTCTTCCGAGGTTGCAAGTTCACCTTCAACATTTATTTATTATCATTTCCCGACGTCCACTGTCAACACGGTCACGAGCAATACATATTCAACATCCTCGTCTGCATTTGTCACCAGCAGCAGCATTATCACCACGACACGTTCACCATCTTCCACAGTAGTGTCCTCTACCAGCACCACGCCTGTAATGGGCTCGTCAATGCACTCTTCTGCTGCTAGTCAGGGTAGTAGCGGAGTTCCCAGTTTTACTTTTACTGGTACCACAACGCGCAGTCCAACTGCATTAGGAAGCACTCTGGTCAAGACTTCGTCTTCGTCGGCAACCTTTGAATTTTCGTCTTCGGCTGCGGAGGAAAATTCAAGTTTCGCAAGTGCAAGTGCAACACCACCACCAACAACGACAACTTCAACATGCACGAAACACAATCCATCCACTTTCTCGAGTCATCGGTCGTCACCTACTGCATTAGGTAGCACTCTTGTTAAAACTAGTACGACATGGATTGATTCCGAAATTGCTTCGAGTTCGTCCGCTGTTGGGTCTCCCACGACTACAGTTTACCAACCAAAATCCTCATCACAACTACAAGTCAGCTCAACATCGGCAACAACAACAACATCATGTACAAAGGTACCTCCGAAAAGTGATATTCCTGTTGTTATGGCTCGTCCTACGGCTTTGGTTGCTGCTGCGGCTCATCGGGATCATCAGCAACGTGAACAACGGGGGAAAGGGAACGTTAAGGGGTCGCATCATGGCTCGGGTGCTGGGAAGAATGGTCAGAAGGGGAAGGGGTCGTCACATGGTCGCAAGGAAGGGAGGAAGGGTTCGCATTAAGTGAGGAGGGGGTTTTTTATATATATTTCTTTTTCCTTCTCTCTATTCATGATCATTCATTTTCTCTTTTTGGCAAAACATCATAGACAATAGGAAAGATACGCATGCCATTGAAGCATATTTTCATTTGCAAAGAAACATTGCCTTTTTTATAATCACTTGATATTATCTATGTAGCTATAGCTTTCTTCCTTTGTCATGCCTATCAATAATCGGTTCGTGTAGTTAAAAAATAGTTTGTAGTCTATGTAGCATATTGATTTAATTTTCCTTGTTTATACTATTTATCTCTATTTTTAGTTCTAAGTCTTTTGTACATTTTGTTGAAGTATGTTTAGTACGTGTTGCAGTTTTAGTATATGTGTTAATGAGTCTTTACTGTTTTCTACGTTCATTGAAAAACAGCAGTGCGATTTTTTAGTATTGTTCAGTTTTTTTTTGGTGGTGTTAATATCGTTTTGTCAAAATGAAAGGTTTTGGGTTATAAGTATACGTGGTTATTATTATTGAAATACAACCAAAGAAACTAGTATTGCAGTGCAAATAATTGTTCTAGTGCAGTAACACGCGTTAAATATCAATATTTTTACACGTTTTTTCGGCCCATTGTGTGCCGTGATTGGGTACTGTTGGTTTTGGAATACGTTGATGATTTATTGTTATTTGGACGTGACGAAGTACATATACAGAAAATGAAAGATATGTTTAATGAAAGATTTAAAACGAAGGATCTCGGCGAAGCAAAATGGATATTAAAAATTAAAATCGATTGAATTGAAAGAGGACTATATATCGGTCAACCCAGATACC